TATTATTATTATTATTCCGGTACCAATGGCAATATACCTCCCAGTTACAAGGGAATGTGAGTGACAGGGTATATTGCACTCGCGTCTCAATTGTGGGTAGAGACATGAGTGCAACAGGCTACTGCTTGGCAACTAAGTGAACAGAATGCTGGACTAGATAAGACTTTGGTCTGATGCAGCATAATTATGTAAATAATGTACTGAAGTGGCACATCAAGTGACAAGTTTGACTTTGAATCAAAAGCAGCCTTGGATCTCTGAGCAAGGTAATAAGTTCACAGGAATCTGCTGGAGGTCCTTTCTTTGTCAAGAAAGGTGACTGGTGATTGCAACAAGGAGCAAATTTGAGTGTGTGTATCTAAAAAAAATCAGCCCTGACAGCCACACTGAATTGACAGAAAGAATTGTGCACATCCAATCCTGACGACTGCCTCAATGCCATGCTAAGTGTATTTATATGATCCCCTTGAATAAAAGCTTTGCAGATTGAGAAGCGCAGGAAAGATGCCATATGGTTATGTGGGAAGTTTTATCAGGTTTATTGGAGATAAGCTTTACACCTACACCCCCATCATTGTTTTGTTTTAATTCATTTCAAGTTATGTTCATAATGATTCATATTTTCTGTATATCAATCCACAGAAGAAAGAACATCTCACAGTCCCAACAGCTTATCAGAAAAACAGAACAGTAATTTTAACAGATTAAAACTAGAGTTCTACTGTCTCTTTGGAATTGATTACAAAACACATCTATGACACACTGACAAAACCATCTATTAATGACAGCACATTATGGAGTTAAACTGTTGTTACTATTTATACCTTGTTTTCAAGACTGTCCTTGTTAATTTTTACTAACATGGCAACTCAATGGCTACAACATGAGACTGTTTACTAGACATAATATATCTTACCTTGCTCTTCACTCCCCTCTTTACAGAGACTAGAACTTTGGCCAAGACTCAGACTGATGTCATCAGAAGTCTTTGCAGTGTCTGTATCACCTGCACATTAACAGAATAAGCAAATTTGTTTAAAAGTACTATCCTGAAAGCCTAATCATAAGGAAACATATTAGAGAAGCATCATTTCTACACAGAATCATTATATACTACATATATTTTTCATAAAATAGACTGCATAATGCTATCCCATCAGTGTACCATATAAGTACAACAGCACTTCAATATCCTGTACTACTAGAACACTGTAATGTGACAGTACAGCTAATAGAATCGACTTTATAACTGTGTACAGTACATAACAATACATAAACCTATGCTGTGCTGCTAATATTATGTCATATTACGTCAGAGGACTAAACATGGAAACAGGAAGCTAAGCAGGACAGCCAATTGGAGATCTTATCAAATATTCCAGGATCAGACCACTTCTTATGTTAATAGTACCATCATCAGTCCATACTGGCTACTGCAAAGTAACAGCTCCAGAGTTAACAGACAACACCGGTGGCTTTTGTACAATGTACAATGGTGAAGACACCAAGGGTTAGTGAAGTTCTACATGGACAACAAACCCCAAACCTACAACAACCCCATTGTTTATAGCAGGGATGCACAACATGCAGTCCACAGGTCACATGCAGTTTCCCAAAAACCTCATTACCCCCTAAAAGGAATCCAGCTCAGAATGTCCCCTTCTGCTTTCTAGGGACATGGGAGTAATTTCAAAAAATAAAAAAAATTCAGGTCTCAAGAATTCATTCAGACTTTTTCTTTCCTATACTATAGTTCATTTTTTCCATATCAACTATATATTGACAGAATGAAAAGTTTGCTTGTTAAGATTTATCACTGTGACTACCTAAATATGAGTTTAAGAAGAAAATCATACCTTTAATGGTAGCTGCCGTTCCACGACGAGATAAACCAGACCCAATCTAAATGGGAGAAGAGATGTATATGAATGGCACAATGTGTTTTCAGCATAGAAAAGTTTAATTACTTGTGTAAATAAGCATAACGAGAAAAGTTTTGTTAAGTAGCTGATTTCACCCTTATTTATAGCAGCCCTTGACACTTCCAAACTTGGCAGGTGGGGGATGAGGTCACCTTGTAATAACATAAACTATATTGTGCTTAATTTTTTGTACACAAAAACAGTATTTTGGAAGGAGAAAGAAGAAGGTTGTTTGGGAGTTATTAAGGAACTCCTTGAGAATTAATTCATAAATTTATGATTTAAAATATTTTATTTTCTTTCACTAGAATTGCAATCCATAGTATATGGAATAACTGCTTTCATATATGTGCAAACATACAAAGAGATATTCCCTGCATTGCCCCTCTCAAGAATGTGAATCTCAAATACCAGCAATGCTCTTCTGAAAAAGCACCAAAACATTCACTGTCTTTCCACTTTCACAAGCCAAGTTTTCCAAATTCAAAGGACAATGGCCAGAATTCAACTGAATATTTATACCAGGGTAAGTGCAATGGTATAATCTAGGAGTAATGAATAGCCACTAATTAATGAGTGGCCACTGAATTCCTAATTGTGTGCCACTTGACCAACATAGCATATGCCGAACTCAATCTGGGGCTTGTTAGTGGCTATTCATTGTCCTGAATTAGGTAAAGGTTCCTCTTGACATTTAGTCCAGTCGTGTCCGACTCTAGGTCGCGGTGCTCATCCCCGTTTCCAAGACATAGAGACAACATTTGTCCGAAGACAGTTTCCGTGGTCACGTGGCCAGCATGACTACACACGGAATACCTTTCCACCAAGGTGGTACCTATTTATCTACTCACATTTTTACATGCTTTCGAACTGCTAGGTTGGCAGGAGCTGGGACAAGCGATGGGAGCTCACTCCGTTGTGTGGATTTGATCTTACGACTGCTGGTCTTCTGACCTTGCACAGAGGCTTCTGCGGTTTAACCCACAGTGACACCACTCATTGTCCTGAGTTACACTGTTGCATTTATGCCACCTCAAATACTCTATTAGATTCTAGCAATTATAGCAAGAATCCTATTGCTTACGTATGCTGGCATAAGTGGAGTGGTGTAAATCTCGCTGATGAATTACCATTAACTGAGGACTCATGTTTGTATTCCTCACTGTGTGGCACATCATATGACTAGCACACAATGAAGAACAGAAGTGGGGACTCCTTAATTAGCAGTCATTTGCCATTGTGATTTGCACTGTTCCACTTGCAGTGGGGCACATAGGCAACACGGTTCTGATCATTGTGTTTCAAAGAATGAAAGCAACTTAGAATTAAAAGAGAAAGAAGCAAGAAGAAATACTACTTTTATTGTAGTCAATATCATCAATAGCATCAATAAAGTAAGACTCATTTTACTGAACGATTATGAATACATACTATCTTGTAGTAGGGAACAATCTTCTAAAACCTTAAAAAATGAAACAATAAAAAAGCCCAGGTGTAGCGTTCACTCTGCTCATGAATGTTTATGTTGAGATTTGCATGCACAAATAGGAGTTGGTGGGGGCGGAGTTAAAAGGGGGAGAAGAAAAAGAGAGAGAGTAGGCATTTGAGAATGGAGGAAGAAGGTTGCTTTAGTTGAGAGTCAATGACATTGACTGGAGTTTTTTCACTTGTAACAATAAACAATTTCTACTTGGTTTTTAAATGCTACATTGCCCGGACCTCTGTCATTAATAGTGAATAAAGTTGATGTAATCAACTGGCAGCAGCTGAACGACACACATCTTGTCCCTTTACTTGGTGAAACAACCAAGGGACAGGCAGGAATGTGACACCAGGAACAAATAAATTAAATTTTAGCATACAAGTAAAATGAGAAATCTCAACTGCCCTAACATAATGATAGAAGAATTAAAAATAAAGATAAACTGTAAAGTATTATGTTTTGGATAATTTTTCAAATTGACTGCAATATGTAGGGACAGAAAGCTGTTGCTATTATAATAGTAAGTAAACAGAAGCATTTGTTTCAGAATTAATTCTTACCTGATTATTTAGGTCTAGGCCAGCAAACGAGTTTCGTGAACTACAGCCCACTGGTGGTGTAGCTTCTCGAACAAACTCTGACATCTCAATCCCTCCTCCTGGATCACTAAAGTATGAAGGTATTTTGGATATTATTCTACTTAATTGTTAGATTAATTAAGAAAGCACACTTAAACGCTTCACTTGATAATAACCAGCTCATTTACCAAGAACACACAAAATTAACTGTTGCAGCCAGAATATTTCATTAAACAATGTAACAAAATGGTTGCAGATATTTTGTTCAGTTACTTTTACATCCAAATATGATTGAGCAATAATGCTTATTCTCTTCCAAGATTATTTCCCTCAAAAATGTGAACCAGGATATCAGTCTAGAAGGTTTTAATTCTTTCTGACAGAATGTGTAAACTTTGTGTTTGTATTTATGTAAGTAAACAGGTAAATAGGAATGGCAGAGACAGATGGGGTAATTAGTAACAAAGTTTCAATCAATACAATATTTTAAAACTTCAAACAGAACTATTCAACATTGTGCCTGAAGCATAACAGAAATCTAATTTTACATTCCTATCAGCATGAACCATGTTGAAATGGACAAAGGATTATGAGTTCAAATGAAATGCAATAAACTCAGGTACACTTTTTGTTAAATAAGAATCCTGGGAGTGTAAACTAGCCTCTCAACAAAGAGGCAAGAGAGAGAAAAGGTAACATTACCTATCTCAGCTACAGCTGAGTACTGTATTGTTACAATCAGTCACTCGTTCAAGTAACTCTGGTGAGAAAAAATTATAACCAGGCATCCAAAGCTCTTGCTCCTCTTTCTAACATAGCTTCTCTTAAACTGAGGAGAAACCTACTTACTGAGTGAACAAGAAACTGCCATCAGGTGTACGAAAAATTGCCAGCTGGACCATCTGAGTGACTGCACTTTCCCACAGCTAAGTGCTACATGCTCTTGAATATTTCAAACCTTTATTTGCTAATCTATCTCCTCTCCGGAGAGCTGCTCCTCTCCCTGAACTCCAATTCATTTAGTTACAAAGTATGCCAGAGAACACCAAGATGTGTTTTCAAATTATTGCTTTTCATTCTGTTAGCACCAAAATGACTTGTAAAAGCAGATCTTAACCATTTTTACATTGTAATCTTGACCGCTTACAGATTTCACAAACAATATTAAGAAAAAAATAGGCTAGGTTCATCTTCCTTGCAACTGTGACTCATTCTTGCAACACACCTATTTCTTATCCCTGCCTCTGGTTCTAATACTTCAACCCTAACTTAAAAAATATACAGCTGTGCGGAGTTAGGCCAGGACAGAGGCTTCTTGAATCCTGAGATCTGCCTGCTCCAGTAGATCTTGCTCAGCTCACAGATCCTACAAGCTGCTAGGAGTTCTGCTTTACCAGGGGAGACAGCCAGAAGAGTTGTGGTTACTGCAGAGAGTGGAACGCTGGTACTTGCTCAGCTCACAGATCCTACAAGCTGCCAGGAATTCTGCTTTACAAGGGGAGACAGCCAGAAGAGTTGTAGTTACTGTAGAGAGTGGAACACTGGTAGTACAGTGGTGCCTCGCTTAATGGGCGCCCCATTTAATGACGAATCCGCATAGTGATGGCTTTGTGGGAGCCCCGCTGCTCAGCTGGGGGAAAATGCCGGTGGTAGCCTCGGAAGGACCCTTCCGAAGGGTCGTTCCAAGGCCACCGCTGGGATTCCCCTTCAGAGGGGGCATTTTTCCCTAGCTGAGCGAGAGCCCCGCCGCTCAGCTGGGGGAAAATGCCGGTAGTGGCTTTGGAAGGGTCCTTCCGAAGACATCGCCAGCATTCCCCTTCAGAAGGGGCATTTTCGCCCAGCTGAGCGGGAGCCCCACCACTCAGCTGGGGAGAAATGTCGGTGGTGGCTTTGGAAGGACCCCGAAGCCCCAGCCGACCGCCGAGCCACAGCGCCCCGGGCAACCCAAGCCATGCTGGGACTGCGGGGAGTCCAACCATGGCTGGGATAGCCGGGTGCGGCTCGGCTCCCAGTGGCGGCGGCAGGGTAGGGGGTGTCCAGATGCCTTCTAGGTGAAGCAAAGGGAGGCATCCAGACCCCCACCCACCCTGCCGCCGCCGCTGTTTGGAGCCACGCTGCACCCGGTTTCCCAGCCATGCTCGGACTCACGGGAGTCCAAGCATGGCTGGAATAGGCTGGCATGGCACAGCTCCCGGCGGCGGTGGCAGGGTAGGGGGTGTCCGGATGCCTTCTGGGCAAAGCACCGGAAGTCATCCGGACCCCCACCCACGTTGCCACCACTGCTGCCTGGAGCCACGCCACAACCGGTTTTCCAGTCATGCTCGGACTCGGGTAGGGCGGTCCGGATGCCTTCCAGGCAAAGCACTGGAAGGCATCCGGACCCCCCTCCACCCTGCCGCCACCGCCGCTTGGAGCCGTGTCGCACCCGGTTTCCCAGCCATTCTCGGACTCCCGGGAGTCCAAGCATGGCTGGGATAGGCGCGTGCGGTGCGGCTCCTGGCGGCGGCAGGGTGGGGAAATCCGGATGCCTTCCCGCCCCTTGGAGCCGCACCACGCTGGGCAACCCAAGCCATGGACCCTGAAGGACCCCGAAACCACCGCCGACATTTTCCCCCAGCTGAGCGGCAGGGCTCCCGCTGAGCTGGGCGAAAATGCCCCTTCCGAAGGGGAATGCCGGTGGTGGCTTCGGAAGGACCCTTCCGAAGGGACCTTCCGAAGCCACCGCTGGCATTTTGCCCCAGCTGAGCGGCAAGGGCTTCGAAGCTCCTGCTGCTCAACTGGGGGAAAATGCTGGCGGTGGCTTTGGAAGGACAGCAGGGAGCCCAGGGGTCATTGTCCGAACATTCCAGATGCCCAGCTTTAAGGCAGAAGTTTTCTTATGGTTGTTGCATGGTGCAGGATTATCAATCTGCTTGTTGGGTTTCACCTAAACCCCACGCACCCCGTGAGGTTAACAGACCATGGTGAGGTAGCGCCTTACTGGCTGGGGACTGCCCAGCTTAAAACAGACGGTAGCTACCTAGTGAGGTGCAATGACCCACCGTCAGAAATAGCCCCTGGCGTCATGGTCTACACCAATCGAGCAAAGACTTATAACCGGTAACTGCTACTTCCCGTGTTGTTTTGACACTGTATGCGAAGCTGGAGTGTCCTCTCCAGAGCACAAAGCCTGGGTAAAATAATATGGAGGATAGGCTGTTACCCAATCAGCAAACCCGCCCTCCACGTTGCTGAAATGGTCCAATGGAAAGGCAAGAACCAATTCAACTGGTTCCAGCGACATCACAGGAGTTGCCAGAATGACACGAACTGCCTCTGGGACTCTGGTTCTGGATTTTGCCTTGAGGTTAACTCCTGAAGCCCTTTCCGTCAGCGGATATAGCCACAAGGCAGTGGAGGTTTGAAATCTCCTAGATGGGCTTTCTTCCAAAGCTGACAAGCCCCATCTACCCAGCATTAACTCTTCTGAAGTATTATCTGAATATAATTGGTCTATAACCCCTATAAATCTTTTACCAAATCCCCAACCCTTTATAAGCAGCTTTAATGTTGGCCATTCCACAGAATCAAAGGCTTTAAATATGTCTAGTGATAAAGCAGTTGCCTTTGTTTTTTCCTTTTCTATCTCATATATAATATTTGAAACTTGTCTAGTTAAATTATCCATTTGCCTTCCCTTTATAAAACCACATTGATCCTCTTTAATATAATTTGCTATGAATCTGTTTAGTCTATTTGCTAGTACAATAGTAAAAATCTTAGCCTCTTGATTTATTAGAGATATAGGCCTATAAGATCCCAGATCTGTTAGATCTTTGTTGGGTTTTGGGAAAAGAATTGGTAATGAATGTTTACAAGAACGTGGCATTGTCTTTTCTTCCAGCATTTTATTATAAAATATTTTTAGCTTAGGTATCAAAATGGAACTAAAATGTTTATAATATTCTTGACCCAATCCATCAGGGCCAAATTTCTCAAGTCTTCTTCCAACTTCTTTGCATTTTTCTCCTTAATTTTTCCCCATTATCTCTTCTTCTAATATTCTTTTATCACATTCCAATAATTTAATTTTTAAATTCTCATTTATATAATTTTCTATATTCTTTCAGTACGTTATTTTCTTTATATAATTTCTCACAAAATTCTTGAAAAATCTTCATTTATCTTTCATTATATTACAGCTCTTACCTTTTCTATCTTTAATTACTCCAATTGTATTTTTAATCTTCAATTTTTACATATTCTAGCTAATAATTTTGATTCTTTGTTGCTAAATTTTAAAAAAGGCCTCTTTAGATCCATCAAATCCCTCTAGACTTTCTCTATTTCCATGTTTTGTAGTTCCTTTCTCTTAGCCTAAATTTCTACCAATAACCTTCTATCTCTTTCTTTAAAAAACCTTGCTTTCCAAATTTCTCAAGTCTTCTTCCAATTTCTTTGCGTTTTTCTCCTTAATTTTTTCCCATTTACAGGATTCCCTTATTGTTATTCCACTCGAAATTGCTTTCATCACGTCTGACAACAGGCCTAATTTCGTACCTCCTGTTTCATTTAGTGTCCATAATTCTTTCTTTATCTTATTTATTACCTCTAGGTACTGGAAAATCTTAATATCCATTCTCCACCTTTTAGAGTCTTTATAATCTTTTTAAATTTCAATCTCCATTGACATCAAAACATGATCTGTTATTAATTACAGTTCCTTACTCATTTTAAAGTATCTTTGCATACATATATAGCTAAAGCCTATACTCTAGTACAACGGGTCTCCAGATGTTCTTGGACTACAACTCCCAAAACCCCTAGTCAACACAGCTAATGGTGAAGGCTTCTAGGAATTTTAATCCAAGAACATTGAACATCTGTGACCAAGGTTGGGAACCATTCCTCTCTATGATCTGCACTGATGAGCATCTTGAAAATCCAGCTGATGAGCCACAGACAGAATAGGCAATTTATACTGAAATATACAATAATCTGAACACTGCTGGTGATTAACACAAACACAGGTTAATTGATGTAACTCACAGTGGTAAACTGTCACTAACTACAAAGGTGCCAGTCACAATACCAGGTGAATACCTCTTG